CCCATTGTCCAGTACCTCAAGGATGGGACCTTGCCTAGCAACGGTCAAGGCAAGGGTCCTGCGAGTAAGGTCTGCTCGTTTCACACTCATCGGGGATCAGCTGTACAGTAGAGGATTCAGTGCCCTTCTCCTCCGATGTGTAACCAGTGAAGAAGCAGACTACATCATGAGGGAAATTCATGAAGGGATCTGCGGTAACCACACAGCAGCTCGATCTCTTGCGAACAAGGTTGTTCGTCAGGGATATTACTGGCCCGGATCCAGAAAATGCGCACAATTTTGTCAAAAAATGTGACAAGTGCCAGCGGTTCGCGAACATTCCGCGAGCCCCCTCTCACGAACTAATTACTATGTCAAGCCCCTGGCCGTTTTTCATGTGGGGGATCGACCTTAGGCCTCATGCCAGTTGGAAAGGGAGGGGTCAAGTATGTCGTGGTCGCGGTAGACTATTTCACAAAATGGGTTGAAGCCGAACCGCTAGCCGCGATCATGACCAGAAAGCTAAAAGACTTCGTTTTCAAGAACATAGTGTGCCGCTACGGAATTCCTCACACCCTCATCTCGGATAATGGAAAGCAATTCGATAATGAGGAGTTCAAGAGTTCGCGACGAGCTGGGCACCAAAAAAATTTGCCTCAGTCGCCAGACCGCAAGCGAATGGCCAAGTTGAAGCAGTCAATAAGACCATCAAGCACACTCTAAAGGCCAGCTCGGGGCAGCCAAGGAAATTGGGCTGACGATCTCCCGAAGTCTTATGGGGTACCGGACAACTCCAAGAACCTCCACCTCGGAACCCCTTTTTCGCTAACCTATGGCTGCGAAGCGATGATCCCTGTAGAGGTCAGAACCGGTTCTCTTCGGAGGGACTTGTACAATGAGGTGAGAACGAAGCACTTATGGAGCAAGTTTGGATCTGGTCGAAGAGCACCGCAACAAGGCTTCGCTAAGGATAGCAGCCTACCAGCAGCATGCAAAGAGGTTCTTCGACTCGAAGGTCAAGCGAAGAGACTTCCAGGTCGGAGACCTTGTGCTAAGGAAGTTCTTCTCGAGACCAGAGAGCCAAGTGCGGGGGTACTAGGACCTAACTGGGAAGGTCCGTACTGGGTCGACAGAATCAGAACGGGGACTTACCACCTCAAAAGATTGAACGACTCCAAAGTACCCCGAGCTTGGAATGTCGAGCATCTCCGGCCATACTATTAGTAATCCTGAACTCAGCTCTCAGTTTATGTTAATTTCTTTAATGTTAAGTATTACTTTGTTCGCTCGAAATAGTTTGCATGTGTTCTGTTTGCATGTAAGAATGTATGTAATTGCCTATGTAAATCACGATTGTAAATTGTACATATATATGAAAAGGCGAACAGCAATTAAAAGCAAAATGTATTCTCATTAGTATAAGCAAAAGACCCGACTACAACGGGGGGACTCGTTACATTACGGCTGGTGGGAGGATCCTTCGAACCAGAACCACCTGTCTGGTCAGGTCGTTGAGCGGCCGCAGCCGCTCCGGTCGTCCTCCTGGCCATGATCCGCAAGGTCGCCTGCCAACCCTCCGGGAGGTCGGACATGTCCAAATCTGGGTTCTTTGCTCGCAGGGAGTAGATAGACCCGATTGCCCAGTCTGCAGCCCTTCCTCCAGCTCCTCCGACTGATTCCACATTTCCTCAGTTCAGAAGCGTCTCTCCCGACTCTCCTGGAGTTCGGCCTCAAGAGCTTGCCTTTCCTGTTCGGAGGCCTCCCTATCTTGTTCAGCTCGCTGAACCCGTGCGAAGGTCGCCTGGATCTCCGGTCCTTTTCTCCGACCTCCTTAGAGAGCCTGGCGGTTGTCTTTGAAGTTCCTTGCTTCCTCCGACGTCGATCGAGCTCCGTCTTTTGGAAGTCCACTGTCGTAAAGCAGCGTCCTTTTGGTTCAGATACTGTTCACCGCTTCAAGACTTGTGTTTTTCCGCTTCGACGGACTCCAAGCTTTGCTTCAGCTTCGCGACCTCTTCCTTCAGGTCGCTTGTCCCCTTGCGGCCCCAGCAGTGTCTTCTCCATGGACATCCTCATCGCAAGCAATGCCTGCGAGCAAGATATGAGTTAGAAATAAATCAGAATGAAGTTTCAAATACAGCTCGTTTACCTTGCTTAGATGCTGGAACGACGTGGTCATCAGGTCGTCGCCCGTGTCAGCAAACTCGTCGTATGACTCTGATAGCTCATACTCGAGCAGACCATAGACTATCGGCTGCAGGTATTCGGGCAGACTCCCCAATGAGTCTAGCACTGGTGCGTCCTTCACCTTGCCGGTAGCGACCGCCTCGCTCACGGGCTCCTTGCCCGACCTCCTTGATTCTTGTCACGACCTCAAAGGCTCTTCCTCAGATTCGGTCTCCGACTCTTCGGCCTGAATCTGCTTCCTCTTCTTCGACCTCTGGGCCAGAGCCTTCTGCTTTGGGCGAGCAGTTGGTGCCTGAGCGACCTGTTCTGTCCTGGTCGCTTCTTGCACAGGACAGGGCCGGGGAGGCGCGACTGTTTGCACTGGCTGTGCCGGAATAGGACGAGCAGCTTCTACCGCTCTCTCTCTCCTCGATCGAGAGAAGATGAATGGTGCTCGGCGGGGCTGCTCGGACTCCTTTGGGGGCATAGTTTCTGCATTTAAGTTCGTTAGTAAACAAAATTGTTCCGCGACCAGAAGGGAACCAGTATAACTTACCTTCTGGGGGTTCTAAAGACGCTTTGTCGCTGAAAAAACCGTATTTCTGCAAGTTCGCGGTCGTCACAAGCTTCCTCGCATCCCGGCTCTCCTCGTCCAGTACTCCAAAAGATACGAGCCTATCTAGGTCGGCGAGCAGCGCTTGTTCGGTCGTTCTGTTAACTGCAAAAGGAAAAAACATGTCGTTATTGTAAAGCATGCGAGTAGATAATGAACCCAGCGAAGAGAAACCTACTTGGATCCTGAAAGCGGCAATAGCTGTCGTAAAAGAAGAAGAAGAACTTTGTCTCGTAGGCCCCCGCGTTGCTGGGATAGCTATGTATCCCCGCGGCAATGGTAGGTCGCTGAGACAAATAGTACGAGTCCTTGTCCCTACTCTTCTTAAGGTAGTAGGCGACGTCGAGCTCCACTGCCGTTGGCTCACCCAAGCCGCTCTCGTAGCATGCGATGTACATCGCGACAGCGATGACATACGCGTTTGGTGTTAGTTGCATCGGTGCGATCCCGAAATGATCCAGGACCGACCTGATGAAAGGGGGAATCCTCCCTCCACCCTTGAAGATCTCTTCAGAGATCGCGGCAAGGCCATCGGCAGGGCGCCGTGACGACTTGGTATGGTCGAGGAACACCTCCGTGCGGACGTCAAACTGCCTTTTTATCCTATCAAATTCCTCTGAGGTGAGAACCGAGTAGACATCGAGGGCTGCGTCCTCGGGAACTTCCCTCGAGGACGAGCTGGCTCCTTCCTCGGGTCTGGATGTTGACGGTTCCATTCCAGTCTGCAACATCGACAGACAGGTCATTTTAGCCATCGCATGTCCCGCGCGGCGGCGTGGGACAAATCCCTTAAACCCTAACAGTAACTCGAGCTGCCATCCACGGCTCGAATCTAATGACGGCGTCACGTCTCTGGTGAAACACCGGGAGACCCAACGCCATGGCCCAACCAAACAAATGCAAAATAAAAAAGGGAAAGGAGAATCTTACTTTCTGGGATGCAAAACTGAGGCCGAAACTCGTTCCAGTTGCCTGATAAGCGTCGATCGGGAAAGAAAGATCTCTGGTTTGCAAAGGTTTGTCGCTTGAAACAAAAGAAATTTCGGTGGCATCATCTGAAAAATGTGAGAACTTATATGGATCACGAATCAACGGTTACCACCCCTCGGAACCGAAACGACAGCTCTCTCTCTCCCCGCATTTAATGCGCCCCACGTCGCATTAAATGCCTTGATAAGAGTCGTCGTTTCAAGTGCGCCGTGCAGTCAGGGCTATCAAAACGGCGTCGGGTCAGCACACAGCGCATTTAATGTGCCTGACAAATGCTTTAGCGCGTGCAGAGCGCGTGACAGCGTGGAACCAGGTTCATTGAATCTCTAACCCTAAGGTACAGAAAAGAGCGTCCGACGAATCGAGGTCGCTAGGATGAAGATTTTCAGGTCGCTTAGGCAAGGAATTGCGTGAGTTCATGTTCGCCAAAGGTCTTGTGCCGAGCTCATCCCATTCAGGTCGGAGCGACCAGAACCTCCAATGCGACTTAGTTTCCAAGGTTCGATCCTCAAACCTTAAAAACTAGGGGGCTTCTGTTATGCCTGGGAAAATAAGGGCTAACGTGGGAAAGTCACATGAAGAGTGACCTGCTCCCGTCAGAGCAACAAGCACACGTCAGACCTGCCAAATGATATGGATCTCACACGTGTCCCTTTGCCCTGCAATAAATCGTGCGAAATCAGCTTGGGAAGAGAGCAATGGGACATAAAGCCGGATTATATCTTGACAATCACACCAACCCACAGATTTAATGATGATTACACGCTTCAGTTTGATATAAAATGAAGAAGACCCCTTCATTAAGGGGATTCGACCATTTTTACATTGAGAAACTCTCTCTCTCCTGTAAACAACACATTTACTTTTTCTAAATCTTTTGTAAGTCAGTCCGCTATTGCGACCTGACCCACACTAATATCAATACAAATCAGTGGACGTAGGACTTGCTACCTTAGTATCCGAACCACTTTAAAAGCTTTCTTTGCACTTATTTCGCTTTCAATATTCATTATCACATGTGTTTCTTAACCAATCAACGTTACGCACGTGATAATAAGTTGGTGGAAAAAACCAGCATCAACAAATTTATATTAAACAAATTATTAATTATTTTATAATTCAGAATAAAATTCAAAATATTGAAGGTGGTGGTCAGCTGTTGGCCAGCAACTCAAATCATGCAATTGATTTATAATGAAAAATTAAAAGCAACGAAATATTTTCTTTTGATACCGAGTAGCCTTTCTGCCTCTCTCTATTGAAACTTTAAGGCAATTACGGGGAATGAGATTAATGGAGTTGTTGCGGCCGCCACTGGTCGAAAACGAGGGGAATCGATCTCTATCTCTTCAGGATTAGTAATCCACAGCATCCACTTCAGTTTAAAGTTCATTTCATCATCTAACTCTGAATCATTTATTTTATTTTCTGGTACCGCTACCGCCTTATTCTTTGTCTTCGACATAGACATCGGTTCCTTTCCAGGCCTACGTTCAAATTTTCTATCTGTATCTGCATCTGAACTGCCCAGCTTTGGCTCCTTGCCATGTCTACGTTCAACTTTTCTATCTGTATCTGCATCTGAACTGCCCAGCTTTTGCTCCTTGCCATGTCTACGTTCAAATATTCTTTCTGCATCTGTATCAGAAATGTGCAGCTTTGGCTCCTTCTTGGGACTGCGTGAGGCCGCTCGAACCCGAGGACTCTGTGACGCCTTTCTATCTGTTACCATTATGATTTCCTTTTCCATGCACATTTGAAGTACCTTTGCAAAGCAGACTTCTAAATCAACCTGAAGAACAACTAACGGAAAAGGTTCATTCAATAATTTTTTCAGATAATACCAAGAATGGAACTGGTTTTGACATATTACCTTATTGACAAATTTGGTATCCACAATCCAATTATAGCAAATGGGCTGCATTTCGCGAAGTGTACGTCTACAAGCTGTGATAATAGCTGCTGCGGCAATCACCGAAGGTCTGAACTTTGTAATAAAAGTTATGTCTGCGATTAAAAAAAAAAAAAGTTATAAAGAAAACAACAGAAGATACACAAGGAATAACTTGTATTTTTAAGATTTTGTACCGCCTTGTACTTGGATTATAATCTCGTTTACAACTCGGCGTTTGATGTTTTCTGCTCCAGGAATCCTCGGAATTACCATATTAACGAACGATATAGCTGTTACTTCCAAGTTCCATTTAAGTGCATTGAGAATCACAAGTTCCACTGTCAGTATGTGCCTCTCATGCTTAATCATTTTCGTTTTTACCTTTCATTTGATCGAATAAATTAGAGAAAATTAAAAAAAACTTTAATCTTTCAGGAAACAAAGAGTAATTATAATAAAATTATACACCAAATTTTGATTAATTTACCAGAAAGTGAAGGACATCGAAGGTGTCAGGTCTCGTCTTATAAGCAATCATTAAACAACAGTTGGCTACAAGAACTACTTCATCTCGCACACCGTCTAGCACGTTCTGATTGAACAATTTGACATTAATATTGAAAATATGTGAAGGATCCGAGTCATAAAATCATGGGGTTTTGATGTTGTATTACCGGAAGTCGGTTTTTTGAAATGAAGCGATCAAAGCAAACTAAAGCTAGATATGGTGCAAACGCATTAAAATTGTAGCAACGAGAGTTCTGTAATCAATATAAGATACTCTTTAATTCTCAGGAATTTATCAAAAACTAACAAACTTGAAACAAACGCATAAATTTTAGGAAAGACAAGATAACAAACATTGAATTTGATCATTTGTTTCGTTTTCTTGTCCTTTTTATCATTTTCTCATCAGGAGTTGATTGTTCAATTCTTTCATCAAACAAGGGTTTAGAAGTTCAAGAATCTAAAACATTTTCTTAATAAAGCAACTGACTCGCTACAGAACAAAGTAAATGAATTAGTAGTTCAGTTCTTTCATTTTCTTGTACTTTTTATCATTTTCTCAGTAGGCTAACAAGGGATTGCATGTTCAGTTCACAGAAAAGCCTTGATGGAATAAATAACCTAACTCACAAGGAAGAAATCCAAAAGAACTGAAAGCTTTTATTTAATTTTTTTCTTAGCAGCCCAACAAGATCTCATGCATTTCTTTCCTTTTCTTTCTATTTTACCTTGTTTTCTCATCAACCAAACAAAACCACAAAGTTCAAACTTCAGATATTATACCCCCATTTTCTGGAAAACCAAACAGAAAACTTAGAAGTACTTACTTCAAGGATCACTCTAACAGCTATCGTTCTGAGAATCACTTCTTTACTCTGAGCATAGCCTTACGAGGCATGAATTCTTCTTCCACTTTTAAGCACCTCTCAAGATCTTGTTCTTCGAAACCAACTACTGGATTATTTCGGTCGTAATCTAATTTCATAGCCATTTTGTTTGAGAGAAAATAAAAAGAATAGAAAATACGAGAAAGTTGAATGAAAATTTTTCAGTATAGGCGTCCAAGACTCATCAGTTTCTCTCTCTGGACAGTTTTGTTCGTTAAGGCTTGAGAATTGTACAGTAAAATTTTTGGACTAAGCGAGGTAGAGAATTGTATAAATTACATAAATTAAAACATTTTTTTTTTGGAAATTTAACAAATTATAATTAATTTTGTTATCATTAATTCATTAAAAAAATAAAAAATAAAAACATTAAAATAGTTTTTGTGTTATTTTATAGCAATAAAGGTAATAAGTATATGGAAACTAAATAAGAAAAATCATTATATTTAATTTCTCATTTGCATTTTAAAAAGAAATGATTTTCCAATAATGATATAATACAATTTATGCCAAATAGACCATAAGTATGAAGACCCAAGCCTACAAACCAGTTGAGCCGCTAGCAACCTACTTAGGCTCTCAACTCGAGTCGAGCTCGAGCTTGACTTAATTTTTCTCAAGTAGCTTGCTTCTCGAGTCGAGCTTATTAATACTTGACTCGAGCAACTCGCAAGCTTACTTAAGCTCGATATATTATATAATATTTTAATTTTGTATTAGTATTATATAGACAAATTAAAATAATTAATAATTTTATATTAATATATTAATTTTAACTCGATACAACTAAGTCAAGCTCAAGTTCAATTTTGACACGATTGTAATCGAGTCGAGCTGGAGCTTTGGATATTCAAGTCGAATTGAGCTCAAACTTCTCAATATTCGACTTGACGCATGTCAATTACAATCCAAAGTTACGAATGATAAGATACGTATGTTTGTTTATTTTAATTTAAATTTTCAATAACATTTTTATTGCAATTGTTTACAGATCCAAAAATCAATAAGTGAAGTCCAATTGGGCCAATCCCTGGTCTGAGCTAGGCTAATTTGGGATTGTTGTATCTTTAAGCTTAATAACTTCTTAATCAACTTTTAAAAGTAATCAATGCGGAAATGATAATGAATGCATCCCACAAAAATTATACTTCCAAAAACTAAACCAAGGATCCCATAGTTTGTCGATCTCCAACTTCAATATACCCTTTAGAACTTTACTCAAACATATTTGACACTATTGCCCATATACAAACACGGGTCACTCTGCAAAATTTACAACTCTCATAAGCTTAAAAATTCATAATATGAGCATCTCCAAATGATTATTTATATAATCCAAATTCTTTATTATAAAAAATTTGTTCATTAAAACAATAGTCCAATATACTATTTATTCTTTAAATATAAATTAAAAAGTGAGTTTGTCTCTTTACATCTAAAGAGTCAATCTCATTCTCTATCCTAATTTTATTTAATAAATTACAAGTTTCTATGTATTTCATTATTAATTCTCTCTCCTATTTATTATGTCTAATTTAAGGAGTCTATTGAATTTGAATATAAATTTTATTCTTTATATTTAGAAATTAATGAAGATGTTCTTTATTTATGTGAAATATGCTCTTTAAAATAAAAAGCACAATTGGAGATGCTCTAAGAAGGCAAACAATTAATGTAAATTTATCGTTTGATTCATTTCAGTTTCAACTTTAATGAAAATTGTTTAGAACTTTACAGCCCTTAGGGTACAAAATGAAAACTTAAAAGCAATGTAGTATAGTATATGAAACAATATCAATGGCCTTGTTTCTCACTATTTACCTCATAAACAAAATTATAAGTCAAAGAAAATTGTAACACATAGTTAGCGTTTGTTTCAGGGTCATAAAAGATAACATCAGTAATCTATCTTTTAATCCAGTAGTTACCACGTTTGGGTGTCAAGTAATCAAAGATTTTATTAATCGACCAATACCAATAGTGATAACGGTAGGTAATATAAGGGGTAATTCTATTACCGTCTGAAAGAGAGTTATTTTTTTATTACTAGGGTAATCAACTGTTTATACCAATTTTACCCTTAATTAATAAACATTTTAGACACAAATGACCTCATTTGTCTACTAAATAACAATGAATCCAAATGTGTAAAATGACTTCTTTAACCTTATATATTATTTTTTTTGGATAGAAATACCCTCACTATTTACATGGATAATACCCAAAATACCTTAGTCACTCAAAACAACTTTCGGCCGTCGACTACCACTGTTGGCCATTGGCTACTACTACGCTGCCACTAGCAGTCATCAAAAGGGTGCAGGAACGGCCAGATCTGATCAATCGTGTGTCGATCTAGTCATTTCCGGTTAGATCAAAGGCCGAAAATGGGCAAATGGTCGTGGACCTGGTCAGAAATGACCTAATCCAATCTCAAACATATTAACAAAACAGATAGTTGTTACAGCGCCCGTTTTCCAGTCAAGTCCATTGAGAATCCCAAGTTCCACTAGGAGTATAAGCCTCTGATGCTCAATCATATCCGTTTTTGCCTTTTAAAAGTTTAATCGTAGAGAGAAAAAAAAAAAAAAAAATGAGTTAGAGAACAACATCAATCTCTCAAGAAACAAACAACAATAATAAATGAAATACACTCAAAATGCCTTCTGATTTTACCACAAATTCAAGGACCCGGTTCTGTGTCTCATTTTCCAAGCAATAGTCAAGCTACAGTTGGCAACAAGAACTACCTCATCTCGCACATATTCTGAATAATTTGACATCAATATACAAAATATGTGAAAAATTTGAGTCATAAAAATATGTGAAAAATAATATTTTTGAAAAACTATCTCAAATAGTTTTATAAAGCTATACTGGGTGTACTCCTTATTGAATTGTTCTTCATGTTATGAATACTTTTCTCATTAATCTCTCTTGTAATTCACTTTCACTTTCATTAAACCAAATCTAATCAAATAATTAACAAAAACTAAGATAGAAAGGCTTTATTTGTTCTATGCTAAACTGTCTTATCTTCATAACAAGCAACTCAATTCATGCAATTGATTTATTTCAGTTTCAAACTTCAAACCATGTCTAATCAAATGAAAATAAAAAGCCACGATAGCCACGATATATTTTCTTTCGATGAGCAGCCTTTCGATACCGGTACTGAGGGTTATGATTTCGAAAATGAGGGTAATCGAAATCTATCTCTTCAGGATTAGTAATCCACAGTATCCACTTCACTTTAAAGTTTATTTCATCATCTGACTCTGAATCATCTATTTTGTTTTCTGGTACCGCTACCGCCTTATTCTTCGTCTTCGACAGAGACATCGGTTCCTTTCCAGGCCTACGTTCAAATTTCCTATCTGTATCTGCATCTGAACTGCCCAGCTTTGGCTCCTTGCCATGTCTACGTTCAACTATTCTTTCTGCATCTGTATCGGAAATTCGCAGGTTTGGCTCCTTCTCGGGACTGCGTGAGGCCGCTCGAACCCGAGGACTCTGTGCCGCCTCTCTATCTTTTTTCCTTATGATTTTCTTATCCATGCACATTTGACAAAACTTTACAAAGCAGGCTTCTAAATCAACCTGAAGAACAACTAACAGAAAAGGTTCATTCAACAATTATTTCCGATAATATCAAGAATAGAACTGGTTTTGACATATTACCTCATCAACAAATTTGGTATCTACAATCCATTTATAGCAAATGGGCTGCATTTCTCGAAGTGTAAGACTACAAGCTGTCATAATAGCTGCTGCAGCGATCACTGAAGGTCTGTACTCTGTAACAGTTTTATCTGCGATAACCCAAAAAAAAAAAAAAAATTATAAAGATAACAACATAAGATATAAAATAAATAACTTGTACTTTTAAGAATTTGTACCGCCTAGTGCATGGATTATAATCTCGTTTACAACTCTGCGTTTGATGTTTTCTGCTCCAGAAATCCTCGGAATTACCAAATTAACGAACGATATAGCTGTTAGTTCCAAGTCCCATTTAAGTGCATTGAGAATCACAAGTTCTACTATACGTACATGCCTCCCATGGTTAATCATTTTCGTTTTCACCTTTCATTTGATCGAATAAATTAGAGAAAATTAAAAAACATTAATCTTTTAGGAAACAAATACTAATTATACTAAAATTATACACCAAATTTTGATTAATTTACCAGAAAGCTATGGACATCGAAGCTGTCAAGTCTCATCTTATAAGCAATCATTAAACAACAGTTGACAACAAGAACTACCTCATCTCGCGCACAGTCTATCACATTCTGATTGAACAATTTGACATTAATATTCAAAATATGTGAAAGATCATGAAAACAAAACAAAGGAGTCATAAAATCATGGGGTTTTGATGTTGTATTACCGGAAGTGGGTTCTTTGAAATGAAGCGATCAAAGTAAGTTAAAGCAAGATATTGTTCAAACACATCAAAATTGTCGAGACGAGAGTTCTGCAATCAACATAACATACTCTTTAAGTTTCATGAAATAATCAAAAAGTAGCAAACTTGAAATAAACTGATAATTCTGTGAAAGAAAATATCACAAACATATAATTTCTGGGAAAGAAAAGATAACAAACATGAATTTGATCATTTGTTTGGTTTTCTTGTCCTTTTTATCATTTTCTTGTTAGGTCATAAACTTAACATGAAAACAAAACAAAGGGGTTAATTGTTCAATTCTTTCATCTTTGCCCCTCATTTTCTCTGAAGGCAAACAAGGGTTTAGAAGTTCAAGAATCTAGAAAATTTTCTTAATAAAGCAACTGACTCGCAACAGAACAAAACAAATGAATTAGTAGTTCAGTTCTTTCATTTTCTTGGACTTTCTATCATTTTCTCAGTAGGCTAACAAGGTTTTGTAAAATTTCAAAGAAAAACATGAAAAACAATGTCAGAATCTAGAAACTTTGATGGAATAATTAAATAGCCTAACTTACAAGGAAAAAATCCCAAAGAACTGAAAGCTTTTAATTAATCTTTTATTTAGCAACCAAACAAGATCTCATGCATTTCTTTCCTTTTATTTCTATTTTACCTTGTTTTCTCATCAACCAAACAAAACCACAAAGTTCAAACTTCAGATATTTTATTCCCATCTTCTGTAAAACCAAACAGAAAACTTAGAACCACTTACTAGGATCACTCTAACAGCTGTAACTCTGAGAATCGCTCCGTTACTCTGAGCATAGCCCTCGGCAGCCATGAATTCTTCCTCCGCTTCTAAGTACCTCTCAAGATCTTCTTCTTCGAAACCATCCACTGGATTATTTCGGTCGTCATCTATTTTCATATCCATTTTATTTCCAGAGAAAATCTAAAGAACAGAAAATACAAGAAATTTGAATGAAAATTTTTCAGTAAATGCTTGCTTTATATAGGCGTCCAAGACTCATTAATTTCTCTCTCTTGACAGTTTGTTCGTTAGGACTTGAGAATTATACAGTGAATTTTTTGGCGGGAAAAGCAGTTTAGCATAGAGTCGTGGTTTTTCCTGCGGTTATTTCTTTACTGCTGGTCCAGTGACTTGTAGGATTTTGCCTTGGCTTGGGAAAGTTATAAATCATGTTTGGATGTACTCACATATCCTTTTAATAGATATGAAGCTATACCGGGTCTACTCCATATATAATTTTTTTTCATTTTATGAACACTTTTCTTATTAATCTCTCTTTTAATTCAATTCCACTTTCATTAAACCAAATTCAATCCTCATATCTGGTTTGCTTGTTTCCAGAGAAAATCAACGAAAATAAAATAAAAGAAAAATCAAAGATCAATCAATTTCCCTCTCAGAAAAGTTTATGTATTCTCTCAAGTATGCAGTGTAATTGAAATATCTGGAATTTCTAAAACAGTAATTTACTTTTAGATAATTCTTTAGGTAAATACGTTTTATACAAACTCCTATGTTTTAAGATGATTAGGTAATTTTAAATTAAAAAAATTAAATAATTACAGACGATTAAATGTGAAACGAATGAGATTGCCACATCCGTTTGTATATAAAGTTTGTGTATGTAGCATTACTCTTATCTTTATATATAAAACAATAATTTATGAATAATATTCTTTGTACAAACTATTTCATACAAATTGATGTGTCATAAAATGAATGATGTGTCACTTAAAAAACAATGCCATATCAATTTGTATACGTTAGTTTGTATATTTAGTTTGTACAAATACAACTACTCATAATTTATTTATAGTTTGTGTTAGGGCCAAAAATCGTCATTGGCCCAAATAGGAAAACGGGACTGAATGAGGAAGAGACCAGGCCCAATCCCGATGCGGCCCCATCAGGATTAGACCCATTTTATATGAGATACAACTGGCCCAAACCATCCGGGCACAAGCCTCCCAATCCCAGTTCACTTCCTGGACCTATGAGCGAGTTTAGAGCCCATGGCACCCACAAATCACCTTCCTATTCGGGATCAATCTCCTATTTGAGGTTACTTTCCTGTTCAGATCACTTTCCTACTCAAACATTGGTAAGACAGCTCACCACCACCCTAATTCCTCTAGGGTTCGCATCAGAGTCACACTAGGACTCCTACTCCGACCAGGACTGGGAGACCAGACAATCACTATATAAGCAGAGGCCAGCCCTCTCACAAGGGACACTACATTACACCTTCACACCCGAAGCTCCTAATTGAGAGCTTCACATCACTGTCGTAGTCACAGTCTTCGACTAGACTTCCGGTAACCTCTCTACTCCCTAGCCCTCACTATACTAGCCTCTTTCAGCCTTGCTGACTTGAGCGTCGGATTGCTGACTTGAGCGTCGGAGTACCTACGGCAAACACCACCCTGGTGTTTCCCGTCCGCTTCACGCCTTTGTTTCTCTACGTGTGCAGGTGCAGCAGATCGCTAGTGGCCTCAAACTCACGGGATCAGACCCCCCTTCCATACAGGTAGATTTTTACGTCTATAGTTTGGAGCCCACTGTGGGGCCTCTAGCAATCATTCAGCTTGACGAACCTTGCTATGTAGAGGAATATTCCATGACTAACCCTTTGGACAACGCTAACTCCGGCCTCGAGGCTAGATTGGAGGCTCTGACCGCTCTCATGCAACAAAATTCAGATAAGATGGCCACACTAGAAGCCGAGAACAATGCACTCCGGAGCAAAAACACATCCATCAGGGCTGAAAACCAGTCTCTTAAAGAGAAGGTAAGTCAGTTCTATGATCCGGAGCTTCTGCCTTGCCAGGTACCTCCTAATCGATTCCGCGCCTCAGTTCCATCCATGCAACCTCTCCAAACCCCAGAGCACAGACCCTTGGCCTTTGGTAAAAGGCCACGTCCAATAAGTTCATCGGTGGTCGACGACTTGATCCTGACTCATGGAGGAAAGGATCTGCCAACAGAACTCCATTCATCTGATCCACCCCAGTCTCGAGATCAAGACGCCCAAGAGACAAAGAGCCCACACCTGCAAGACCAACCCATTCTTACCATCCAGCCTCACCTTCAGTCAACCATCCTCGCACAAACACCATTCGGCTCGGCTCACCCTTATGGGTTGAACGGCCAACCCAACCAAACTATAGCACTCGAGCCCACCCATTCTGATGGACCGAACGAATATCAAACAACCCCCCTGACTATTCATGTAGGGCGAAACACCAGATCATTTACTATGGGAGTCACTGGGGTGTGCATGAAGGAATGATCTACCAGACTACACCGCGCGGGATGACCCAATAGAATATGCCAAGGACGAATGCAATGGCTGACCCAGTCAAACGGGATGACCTAGTGGTATCCCCTTCTCCTATGGAACAGGTATTGGCCAAGAGGTTGGCTAATGTAGAGGCAGTGATGAGGGGCCTCACAGTTATGCAGATTCACCCTTTGTGGACGAGATCGCCCTAGTCGACATGCCCCAGAAGTTTACTATTCCCAGCATGAAATCCTATGACAACACAACCGACCCAGATGATCACATAGCCTCGTACAAGCAACAGATGTTCATTGTCTCAATACCCCAAGCACTGAGGGAAGCTTGCATGTGCAAGAGTTTTGGTTCAAGCTTATCCGGTCCAGCACTCAGTGGTACACAAATCTCTCGAACGGTTCCATCGACTCATTTGCTCAACTCACCGAAACCTTTGTGAAGCAGTTTGCCAACAGCAAGAAACTCGAGAAGCTATCGACCGATCTATACAGAGTATACCAGAGGAGGGGAGAGCCACTGAGAGAGTATGTCAACAGATTCAACAAAGAAAATATTTCCATCCCTTTCTGTAACCTTGAGTCAGCTGTAAACGCCTTCAAAAAAGGTCTCCTCCCAGATGGTGAACTATACAAAGAACTGACGAAGCTAGGTTGCACCACGATGGAAGATGCCTTGGCTAGAACAACAAATAAGGTGGGAGGAAGATGAGATGAATCAGCAATTCACGCCAGGTATGACTGAATGCAGAACGACAGGAGGCTAGAGCTCAGATAGATTGTAGGCCTTACAAGGTCACCAAAGAAGCAGGGAAGGGTGCCTACCTGCTCCAAACTCCCAAAGGCAAAGACATCAGCAATAGTTGGAACGCAATCCATCCCACATGCTACTACTTTTAGGTGAAATCAATCTAAATATTTGTTGTCTTTTCATTTTTTATTTAAAAAGGATGAGTGGGCCCATCCACTGCCTTCACAGACAGTCGGTCTCACGGCCTGAATTCAATGAAGCATTATTCAGCAACTGACATCTTCGAATCAGCCCTGCCCGATTCATGAGCTTTCACACTTCGAATCAGCCCTGTTCGATCCACGGATTTGCATCTTCGGATCAATCTTACTCGATCCACATAATTACACCTTTGGATCGGCCCTGCTCGATCCACAGATTTGCATCTTCAGATCGATCCTACTCGATCCATGTAATTACACCTTCAGATCGACCCTGCTCGATTCATGGATTTACATCTTCAGATTGACCTTGCTCGATCAAATGTTTATTACACCTTCGGATCGACCTTGCTTGATCCACGGATTTGCATCTTCGGATTGAACCTGCTCGATCCATGTAATTACACCTTTGGATTGGCCCTGCTTGATCCACGGATTTGCATCTTCAGATCGACCCTGCTCGATCAAATGTTTGTTACACTTTCGGATCAACCCTACTCGATTCACGGATTTACACCTTCGGATCGACCCTGCTCGATCCAACGGATTTACACCTTCAGATCGACCCTGCTCGATCCACGGATTTGCATCTTTAGATCGACCTTGCTCGATTTACGAATTTTTTACACCTTCGGGCCGACTCTGCTTTACCCACGGATTTACACCTTCCGATCGACCCTGCTCGATCCACGAATTTAGATCTTCAGATCAGCCCTGCCCGATCCACGAATTTACACCTTCGAATCGACTCTACTCGATCCATTGTTTCATCTCCGGATCAGCTTTGCCCGGTTCGTGGATCTACACCTTCGATCGGCCTTGCCCGGTTCATGAAGCTACACATTCAGTCAGCCAGACCGAGTGAAGGGTTCTTACACCTCAAAATCGACAAGTCATCGACCCGACCCAACCCAACAGAGAGTTCACACGACTTAGCCACTAGGTTGCACCAAAATCAGAACATAAGCATACGACTCAACTCCACCATCCTCACTTCCCAGGAACCAAGTATTGGATCTCCACTCAACCCGACCAACCGACCAACTCAACTCCACCATTCTCACTCCCCAGGAACCAAGTATTGGATCTCTACTCTACCCGACTGACCGACCAACTCAACTCTACCATCCTCACTCCCCAGGAACTAAGTATTGGATGTCCACTCTACCCGACCGACTGACTCAACTCCACCATCCTCACTCCCCAGGAACCAAGTATTGGATGTCCACTCCACCCAACCGACTCAACTCCACCATCCTTACTCCCCAAGAACCAAGTATTGGATCTCCACTCCACTCGACCAACGGACTGACCGACTCAACTCCACCATCTTTACTCCCTAGGAACTAAGTATTGGATCTCCACTCTACCCGACCGACCGACTGACCGACTCAACTCCACTATCCTCACCCCCAGGAACCAGGTATTGGATCTCCACTCTACCCAACCGACCAACTGACTCAACTCCACCATCCTCACTCCCCCGGAACCAAGTATTGGATCTCCACTCTACCCAGCTGACCGACCGATTGAACTCCACCATCCTCACTCCCTAGAAACCAAGTATTGGATCACCACTCTCCCTATGCCACTGACCGACCGACCTGGTCGTTTCAAACTTTGACTATCACCACTCACCCCACCCCACGCCACCGATCAAC